CGCACACGCACACGCACACGCACACGCACACGCACACGCACACGCACACGCACACGCACACACACACAAAATGCCAGTAGTCAGCTCAATGTAATAACGAAGGATGCGCCCAATGAGTGTACGCGCACATTTGTATACCAGTGGAGTGTACGGATGACTAACATACACTTACATACAACTAATTAAGGATCAGTCTAGTTGATTCCTTAATAAAATATAAGACAACAAATGTACCTCTTTTTTAGACTGCGTCAGCTGCTTTTGTTGCTGCTGTTGCCATGGCTGCTGTTTTGCGGGTTGCTGCTGTTGTGTTTGTTGTTGCCATGGCTGCTGCTTTTCCTGCGGTTGCAACGGCTTCTGGTCTTGAGGCTGCTGTTGCTGCTGAGGGGGTGCAAGCGGTTCGTTCTCGTGTGCCGCACGGCTCCGCTCGGCAGTGATGTTGCTCTTCCCTAGACACAAACGGTAGCTACGTGATTACCAAATCGTCACCATAACTACCAAGCAGTAGCAAAAATGCATGGCTCATGCTCCTGTACACTACTGCGGCTCAATATGTGAATAGTCACTAGTGAGGAGCATACAGGACGAATGATTATCATAATTCTGGCTGTAAATTGACTGCTTTCAGTTTGTTCGTGAGTGCATACCTAGTGCCTTCGCTGCTTGCTGCAGGGATGGACCAATCCCCTGCCATGCCTGCCGTTGTTGATCGACAGCTGACTGTCGAACGCTAGGAACGTTCTCTTTAGACATTGGAACTGCTGTATTCACACTAGGTGGAAGTGTCTGCGGTGCAACGTTGCCGTTAGATGGAGCTAATTGCAGTTGTTGCCACATCTGTGAGAACTCGTCGGTCGCTTGCGGCTTTGGCTGAAGACGAGGCGGCAAATTCTGCAATGTCATTGCACAATGTAAGTGCCAAATTTTGCTACGTCATTAGATATAATATTACCAAATTTTTATACTTAATATTTCCCAAAGTAAAAAAGTTTTCCCCAGCTGCACTATTGCTCTACGATGTGCCACCACTACTTCTCATCCACATGTGCACCTATACGCTGACACCTTCAAGAAAGGTTTTTATTCATCCTCTACCTTCTGTCGATGAGTGTATCCGCCGCTTGTTTGGACTGCCTGGTGAGTAGGTTGTGGCAGCGGACTGTACTTCTTTGGACCTCTCGGAGTCACAAACTGTGGCTGTGTATTTTGTGGGTACGATCCTGGCTGATGGATCTTCTGCAGAAAAGTCACAGGGACAGGTATAGCAAACACTTTACCCCCCCAGATTTGAGAAGATCTACACCATGAGGCCCATATCTGAGTACCTGATGTAAGCCTATGTGGCTGTCAGTTGAAATCGCAAATGAATGGACGTCAAATGTTGAATGTGAACAAATAAATGTTGAATTTGGAAATGAAGGTTGCTGTTGTCGTTGATAACATTCTGACGCAACGCAGACCAATCAGCCTGCGATCAACCACGCTGTTCCCAGCAACGACTAACGTAACTCTAGCTTTTCACAGCTGCCTTGCAACCGTGGGAACCCGCTTGCTGTGGCACAAATGGGGAGTTGGGACTGTGGTTGAACCTACCTGCTGTGGCACGAACGGGGAGTTGGGACTGTGGTTGAACCTATCTTGGCTACGAATGGGGAGTTGGGTCTCGTGGGTTGCCACCTATCCTGGTGTGGGCACAGATGGGGAGTTGAGGAGCTGTGGTTGAACCTACCTGCTGTGGCACGGAAGGGAGTTGGACTGTGGTTGAACCTACCGGCTGTGTGCACGAATGGGGAGTTGGGACTGGTGGTTGAACCTACCTGTTGTGGGCAGCAAAGGGGAGTTGGGACTGTGGTTGAACCTACCTGCTGTGGCACGAATGGGGAGTTGGGACTGTGGTTGAACCTACCTGCTGTGGCACGAATGGGGAGTTGGGACTGTGGTTGAACCTACCTGCTGTGGCACGATACGTGGGAGTTGGACGTTGAACCTTACCTGCTGTGGCACGAACGGGGAGTTGGGACTGTGGTTGAACCTCTGCTGTGCGGCACGCGGCTCGTTGCGGCCACGCCCGGCCTCAGGCGTCTGCTCCCCACGCAGCTTCCTCTCTCCATGGCTGAGGTTGATCAGCGCGAATGCAGGAAGCCTGTAGCCGCAGTCCGACGAGCCCCTGTACAGCAAACAACACGCGATGCCTTTAATCGCCATAACCCGAACCGATAGGGCAAACCAAAGCATGAGCAGATGGGGAAATTCACCTCAAATTTCACTGTTAATTTGTTTACTGATTAATTGCGTGCAATTACTTATGTGCGAGTCACTATAGTTTCAGGAGTGCACGACTTGACACAAGTGATTTAATCAAGCGCTCCTGATGCGTATGCAGTTTTTTTACTTTGTAAAATATGCTCGACTGCTAATGCAACTGCCAGGACATATACTACAGCTACTGCAACTGTTGCTAACACCACAACTACTGCAGCTACTGCTCTCTACTGATGCTACTACTAAGGTTGCTACTACACTACTTTACTCTCACCTGATCGTAATTGCATTTGGAAATGCTTCGTCAAACACAACCTCGTACAGGACATAAGCACTCGTGGCTCCTGCAAGGAAATAGAGCTCATGCATTAGGAACACACAAGCCTGCGAGAAGGACGAAGAAACAGGAGTGCACGCAAGTGCTTGTAATGCCGATATAACACTACAGTCAACACTTTCTTTGGATTTTCATTCTCAATATAGGAATTCCGACGTCTCAGAGTTGATTAATGGTGCAACTAACACTTTTTACTGATTAAAAAACGAGCACTACAGTCAATTATGAAATTAGTCGAGTAGTTAATTACACTAAATGGCTTTGTACGGCCATTTCTGAATCATGCCATTAATGCGCAGCATGTACTACATGCAATCATATCATTTCAGCAGCATATCCCAAGGTAAAACACGCATGATCGGCACGACTGCTGTGGCCTAGACGATGTGCACTAGCTGCTCACACTAGCTGGCAGAGATGTGGATGCGTGCTCACCGGGCAGGATGCCGACGACGGTGCCGCGGAGACCCAGCGGCACGCTGTAGCCGTCGCGTGCGTTAACGACACGATCCCACAGTGCGTACGTCGTCGTCGTGTCCGCCTGCAGACTACCCGGGTTGTCGATGGGCTGCGCACACACGAAACAACGATCCATAGTCACAACAAGCCAATAGTAATAATGTCGCACATGTTAGATTAAAATGCTTACGTGCACATTACAATGTATGAAATATAGCAAAACATAGAAACGCTGAGAAAACAAAACAATGGACGAACCATGAGACGGTGCAGTGTTGCCACCGTGTTTGAAAAACGGCATCAAATTTAAAGAAAAATTGGCCCATCAGCAATGGATATCTCACGCAGACTTAGCATCAAGAATTAGAACTCTTAAGGCGTTGCTTTCCGTTAAAGGCATGGGTTTACATAGGTAATGCTGTCAGAATTATATGTCAACTTCCCGAGGTAGCATCGTGGGGACCCAGTTCTACAGCAGGCATCGATTGAAGTTAATCGGGATAAAGTGCCCTGCTCGAGGGCACGACAGCAGTGACCACGGCGGGACTTGAAACCCTGACCCTTCATCACAAAACTCCCCGAGTGCTAACCATCACGGGTCATCACTGCTCTTGCCTAACGCCGACAATTAACACAGCGACGGTAACGACGACGATTAACACAGCGACGGTAACGACGACGATTAACACAGCGACGGTAACGACGACGATTAACACAGCGACGGTAACGACGACGATTAACACAGCGATGGTAACGACGACGATTAACACAGCGATGGTAACAACGACGACGACGATCTCTCGGCCACTCACCCGGTAGATGAGATGCGAGCGCACTTGCATCTTCACCGTCTTGCCGGGCGTGCGGGCTTCGCGCAGCTTCTTCGCCTCGTCCTCAATGGCGCGCACGAGCGGCTCGGCGAGGTACTTGGTGCCGATCTCCTCCGGTGGCAGCTTGCTGCAGCCGAGCGTCGTAATGAAGCGCACAATCTCCTTGCCCTTCTCGCTGGAAACCCGCAACAACAACAACGTCAGCCCCTCCTCCTCCTCGCAGCATCACCTCGCCCGATTTCACGCCAAATCCGGAGCCATTTTACTTATTTTAGTTAATAAACTAATATATTTAACTTAAATGATATATATGCTTAATTTAATAACTAACTAATAATATACTAATAGTTAATATATTATAATATATATTATTACTTTAAGGCCGACCAAAAAATTACCTTTGGTTCGGGTCACCCGCCCGACTTCACATTTCGGAGTGAAAAATGAGCGACTGCGGTCACTTTTAGAGGGTTTCAAGAAAAAATCAAATTAAAAGATACCGCCTGCCGATCATACATATTCAAATATCCGACTCTTGTCATTTTATTTACCTAAGGAGAGTTCCAAAATATTTATTATTGTATTATAAACAGAACTTCATTGGCGAGAAGTGAAACAGTTCGTACCAACGTTTCCTACAACGTGAAACAGTCGTATAGAGCCTGGGCCGGCTACTTCATAAACAGAGCCTGAAGGTCGTATGGCGCGGCGGCCGGCTTTGATGTACGCGATCAATCGCGTACTATATAGTATACGCATGCTATCGTGCTATACGCGGCCGCAGAGCCATTTACACTTTGGTTACTCGCTCGTTCAAAGAGACGATTAATCGAGCTCCGTTTTTGGAGCGATTCCTAACACTACTATCCAGGTGTTCACATTTTGCAACAATCGAAAAATATCGATTGTTTAGTATACTATCGGCGATAAAAGCATAAAAAATAAAATAGAAAAAATAAAAATAAAAAATATAAGAATAAAAAAATTAAAAACATTATATTCCTGCCTACCCATGTTTTTGCAGGGAAAAAAAATTATTTATACCTACCTACCTACCCTAATTTTCACAATCCATGTGACCCGAACCAAAGGAATTTTTTTGTTTAGCCTAATGTATAATAATTATAATAATTTATTGTTACCCTTATTACCATTTTTATAATAGATCTAGAGTCACTTAAGTGTTCTGTCGGCAACAGTTTTTACGACTGTTTTACTTGTCTATGTCAGGACGACTAAAGTTGCTTGGTCCCGGATGGCAATACAAGCATAATTTCATCTTGCATCACTATCCGTCTCACAAGACAATGACGATGCTGGTGGAGGTGACTATGGCAACAGACACGATGATGATAATGAAGACAGGTTGCTGATGGTTGGGGCAAGGAACGTGGAAATAGTAATCACAATTAGAATGGTCACTCTCATGTTGTTGTTGTTGCTGATGATAACGATGTTGATGCTAATGATGACGCTGATGACGTTGATGATGATGCACGTGTAGACTTACTGCAGCAGTTGCAAGATAAACGCCAAGAAATATGAACAAATCAACATCCTGCGATCATCTACTATGCTCACCCGTTTGAGTTTGGGTAGATATCTTCCTCGTATACATCGTGAGAGTAGTTTGCCAAGCTCTCGAACAACTCCGGAAACCTGCAGCGGAACATGTAGCGATTAAATCATAATCCAAATAAACATCCAAACAGGTAACGGAAATAAGCACGGCTTCATCAAAAACACCACATTCAGTGTAAGTGCATCAAGTTAGGCATGGAGCAATGATAAAGACTCGAGTGAATGTGTATACAAAACACGGTGCTACCTAACCTTTCGCACGCAACTAGGGTTGTAATCGTGTTTCACTTAAGTGTCATTATTAATCAGATTTGAGTAGGTTTCGATAACACAAGTCACTCGCCTGTTACCTGCCGTATACCGAATAAATCGAAGATAGAAGAAGTCAACTAACTTTTCCATATATCGTTCGACGTCTTCAAGCACCTTTGGTGAATAGTACCAGTTATCGTCCATCTTCTTTGTGTAGCCTGGCACCTGCAGTGGCAAAGTTTGAATGAATGCATTCATTAGCATCAGCTCATCAGATTCAACCAATCTTTGTACCTTTCAATTCATTCCAACACTGATGTGCAAGCGCATACATACACTACATAACACCACATAAAAATTCTCTCTCTCTTGCAGTTAGCCAACCCAGAATTTCCAGCGTCGAAACGTTAGGTCGGTAGACAGGCACATCTCTAGCAACATAATAAAGACACGCCACACACCACATCACTTCTCTCTGTCATTGGAAATGAGGATTCATCCACATGCCGCTTACTGACCTCTTTGTTTGTCTTGTTTAGCTTGAGATTCAGTCCAATCTTGGCGTTCTGTGGGTCAGGATGGCCTCGCGGGCCCTTGATGAGATACAGCGAGCCTGTGATGCGAGACACAATGCTGCTACTCACACAGAGATGCTTCGCCGCAACGTAACCCGGCATCCACTTGATCCGCAGCTCCTGATGTAACGAACAGCGTGCGTTATCCACGTCACACACTATATTTAGGTTTTTTTTATGATGTTCCTGTATGTGTCTATAATTACATTCTACAGAAATTACACAGATTTTTATCGCGTCTCTCCATCAAATTATTAGCCACACTTGTACTGCAATGCAAGTATTACACAACACTATGCTGCTGAATGGAAATGTTGCAGATGAAACTGCTGTTTCCACGATTGGTAATGCAATCGTATACACCGTCGTTGATGAAAGTTGATAGGGCACAGGGTCATGACTACGTTCGAAGATAGATACCGACAATCAGTGTAGTCAGTGGTGAATGTATATAAATATAGACTTTTTACTCTAATTATGGTGGAAAGAGAAGGTGACATACATTTTCTCTCCCTTTCACCGGCGTCAGGTTCAAATCTGGCAGCACTTCAACTTTTATGCGAATACGACCTTTATACTTAGGGTCAATTTCCAGAACCTAGACAGATACAAACTAAATCTTAGCAAATGTTTGAAAATCACTGGTCATTATATGTAACTATAAATAATTCTAAAACTACCAAACAGTCAGTTACCTTTGTCCATCAACAACAATCACTACAAGAGAGTCAAATCATGAACGGTTGTAAATGTAATATTTAACGAATTATTAAATTTCTAATTAAACTATATAAAGTTGACATGCCACAACAACACATGGCACAATTGAGAGTGAAGACAACACGTCTGAGTTTTATCGTTCATATGTTTTGATCATTTTCGCTGTCATGTGTTTGCGGTTTCACATGCTCACCATCCACTGTGGCAACCAAGTATATTATAATGACCCATCTGCCTACTATTAGTATGACATTTTATTTTGAGGGGTGGCAGACGTTGATAACCTGCGGGTTCTTTCGCCACTCCTGTGCTTCCTTTGTAAACTAGATTAACTTGACTTGTATATTTCCTATATGCCGCTGTACACTGTATATACACGACTTATGCACAAAATAAACATCTTGAATCTTGAATCTGAAGACACTCATGGCTAACAATGGCAGCTTCTACTCTCCATACCTGACCCATGCATCCATAGTGGGGTTGCCCTAACATAAAGCAATCCGAGCCCACGCTGTAAAACTCATCAATTGTCTTGAATTGCTTGTATGTTGGACCCTCGACAATCAGATCCTGTAAACAATATACACATACACGTATTTATACACGTCATATTATCACATATATATCTGTCTCACTTGCACTGTGCTGACGTTCTTTCCAAAACTTTTTCCCAGAATACATGAAATATAAATCACGACACAAACCAGTTGCACACGGCTGTTATGACACACTGTTCAACCTCTAGCATGATCTAGAATGCGATAAAAAACCCGCACGACATAAAATTGCGACTAAGCAATGCGCACCTTGGCACAGAGCTGATATACCATCGGGATCGGCTTCTCAACCCACTGCTTCTCAAGCGTTACCCTTCCATCATCTTCACACACGTACCTGCGGGGAAAGTACACACACAAACCACGACTTTATGAACAAGCTATGATCTTATCATCAAGCTATGATCCTATGAACAAGCCATGATCCTATGAGCAAGCTCCAATTCTATGAACAAGCTATGTACCTACGAACAAACTATGACCCTAGGTCGAGCAACCGCATGCACGACAAGTAAGAGTGAGTGTGCTACACGAATATGTTTCTTCAAGCAGAGTAAGAATGAAGATTGGCGATGAGGTAGCCTAGACATAGACGAACACTCTGGCCAAACCGTCATGAGCGAAGCGCGACAATTGTGGATGTACTTCTGCAATTCCATCAACGAACCAATTATACTGCAAACAACTCGAGATTGGAGACATAGAGAACGTATCGCTGCTTTGCGCCAGCACTTACTTTTTGCCGCTGATCGGACGCACGTCCAGCAAGAGATGAGTATCACCGATCTTCACTCCCCACCTGTCGTGACACCTGTAGTAAACAACAAGCGATGGGTTTACAAGCACACCGCAATCAAACCTCACGGAGAGAGAAAACGGTTGAACTGCTGCGACATAGCGACAATGCACACATCTCAAAACTCACACACGCTGCCGAACAAGAGAGGATCCTACAGATTTTCTAGCGCAGTACAAGCAAAACAGCAGCAGACTTGATGCCGAGCAGAAGTGTTACACCACTGAGCGAGCGTTCTTACCGTGTAGAGAGTGCATTAACTTGCTGCTTCCACTGGCGCTGCATATCACTGTCTAAATCCTCTTGGTCCATATCCTTCGGGCCTACACTTATCCCGACTTTCACGCCTTTAGCAATGCTGATCCTGCAGCAAAACACGACGAATTTACATTTGTTACTCATGCACTCTCCAACGTTTACTTGTCGTAAGAGATCATATTGAATTCATAGTCGACTTCAGACATATACATCTCTCCTGTCAGGTAAAACTTGTTGGACAAAAACATAGCAATGCAACTTCATCAGACAATCCATACGGACATGGTTTTGTTACTCCCACCTCACTCTTCTACTACATCCCTTTGCATTAAAGATATTGTCAATGAAATCTTGTAAAACGAACCAGATGAGTGTGACACCACAGACTGTTTGTTATCGGCGTTTTTTGCATAAATTGCATAAACCTACCTAATTTGCATAATTTTTTTTTAAATATCAAAACCCCTAGCCCTTATTCATTCACATACCAAAAATGAGCAAAATCCGTTGAACCTGAACTGACTAATGGCAATTTCCATTTTTCCCAAAAAATCGCCGTGGCTCGAAAGTACGCCGACTGGCGTGCTCCAAAATAGAACGTTCCATATGGGAGCATATCAGTAACAACTACACCCAATTTCAAACATGTGGGTCAAACGGTTCCTGAGTTATCGTTGACCGAAACCAAATGTTGACGGACGGACGGACGGACGTACGACGGACGACGACCCATGGCAATAGCTCAGCTTGACGATGTCATGGTGAGCTAAAAATTAAAAATCCCCGCAGGATTCCGATCTTGGTTCACGCAGGTGACAACCACAGTAGAGAACCAGTTCTTGTTTTTGACTCCCTTTTCTCGGTCCCCTTCCTATTCCCCATCTCCAACTTCATTCTGTTTCTGTTTCTCTCTCGCTCTCTCCCCCCTTCCTCCCTCCCTCTCTCTCGCACTCTTCCCCATTCCTCCCTCCCTCCCTCTCTCTCTCTCTCTCTCTCTTTCCCCCTCCCTCCCTCCCTCCATCTCTCCCTCCCCCCCACACACACACTCACCGTCGAGGCGTGGCATGACGTTGATGTAGGTCTTCCAGAGGATGGGCAGCGCGTTGTCGTGGATGTGCATGTGCGGCAGATGCGGGATGAAGTCGTTGCCGACGAGGAAGCCCATCAGCACCCAGTCGTTGATGACCTGCTCCAGGTCGAACGGGAACGACAGCGCCCCCTTCAGTTCAGCGAACTCGTACTCGAGGTAGTCGCGCATCAGCGACAGATGCAGCAGGTGGTAGACCTGGTCCTCGGGACACTGTATCCTGCAGCGTACGAGGGCGGAGAGCATGAGGTCACATTGGGAATCAAAAACGAATTCACGTACACAAGTTCCAGAACATGAGAACACGTGAACGTGAATATTAACGTGAACATGAAAATGAATGAACATGAATGAACGTGAACGTGAATGTGAACGTGAACGTGAATGAACATGAACATGAACGTGAACATGAATGAACATGAACGTGAACATGAATGAACATGAACATGAATGAACGTGAACATGAATGAACGTAAACATGAATGAACG